GGGGGGGCGGGCACGACCGTGACGATTCAGAAAGTGCCCCTGGGCGCATCCGCCGCACAGCTGGCCGACCACGGCGAAGGGAGACTCGGCGCGGGTGGGGACACACTGCCAGCCCAGGGGCGAGAGCGTGCTCTCGGAGGGCGTGTCGCACTGGATGGTGGGGTCGGTCGAACAGCCGAGGGTGCTTCCCCCGAAGAGGGCCACACCGTCGGCGACAAGAGCCTGCAGGTAGGATCCGGGCCCCATGAGCAGGGTGACGGCCTCCAGGCGGGTGGGGTCCACCGCGGGCGGGAGCACCACCTGCTGCCAGGTGACAGCGAGCTTGTCCGGGGTCGGGACCATGCGCCAGACTCCCGGGCGACCGCCCCCGGCCGGGGGCTCGTCCACATACAGGAGATACGACAGCATGTTGAGCAGGGCATCGGTACGGAGGGCGACAAAGCGGCCCCCGGAGCCGACGGCCGTGGCCGGCAGGGTGGCGCTAAAAGTGGCCTCGGTAGGACGGTCGTCCAGGCAGGAGAACACCAGGAGCCGGCGGTCGTCCAGCAGAAGGATCAGGTCCCCGGCCGGGCAGGCATTTCCATCGTCCAATAGTCGGGTCGCGACCATGGCTCGAGCGGGCACCGCCGGGACGTTGAGCTCCGCGACCTCGGGGCCCGCGTGGGGGGAGCTGCGCACGACAAACAGACGCGACTCGGCGGCCAGGTAGAAAGTCAGCTGGGAGACGCTGGCGGCCAGGACCTTGCCGGTCAGCGGGACCAGGTCGAGGTCCTGCACCAGGAGGTGCGTCTCGCCCATGGTCATCTGCAAGATGGCCGCGGTGCGCGGGCCATTCGGCGACCCGAGCATGGCCAGGATGCATGCGTCGAAGTAGCTGGTTGGCAGGGCAGCCAGGAGTTCGGTGTCGGGGTCCGGCAGGGCGAAGACGGTGTCCCCGCCGCAGGGGCTGACATGCGTCGGGCTCACCTCCAGGACCATGGGGGTGGCGGAGGGCGACGAGTCGAGGACCCACATATCCAGGGCGTGCGTCGGTTCGGAGGAATGCTGCATGCAGAGCATGCCATTGCGCGAGACACTGGGAAAGAAGGCCCCCCAGCGGGATTCATGCGGCAGGCTTAGCAAGGGGGCCTGCTGATACACGTACACATAGTGATCGGTGCCCATGGTGAGGGCAAGTGTTGGTGCGCCGACCGGGGTGGCGAAGCCCAGGAAACCCGGCATCAGGCCCAGCGGCTGGGGGGCCGCGTAGAAGTAGATGGCCTGCGTGCCGAGCGACTGGCTGGAGGGCGTGGCCGCTGCCAGGAGCAGCAGCAGCAGCAGCGGCAACAGCATCAGCCCCGGCAGGAGCATCAGCCGAGGGGCGAGCCGGCGGCCCCGGGATCTAAACCGCCCGGCCCCGGGTCCGGCTCCGGTTGGCCAGGACATGATGCTCCAGCAGGGGCGGAGCCCGGGAGGACGCGGGGAGATGGGGCGAGCGGGACTGCCGAGGCGGAGGGCGTCGGGGCGGGGGCGGGGCTGGGGCGAGGGGGGCGGGGGGCGGGGGGCGGGGGTGGGGCAGAGAGATGGTGGTATCGGCTCGCGCGCATTGGCCCCGATCAGACGGCATTTATGGGCGCCCAAGCGGGTGGAGAGTTCCCCCTCGGCGGGGCAGGAGCCACAGCATCGCGCAGGATGTGCGCGTGACGCGCCTGACCCCCTGTGCGCCCGCTGTTTCAGGTCCCATCCTTGTTCAGGAGGGGTCGATGCCGCTTGGCTCGGGTCTACGCCGCGCTTTCCCGGTCCCGCGGCCGCCCACGCAGGCAGTTGGGTGCTCTCCGCCTCCCCCCCCCCCCCCCCTCTAACGTGCAATGAAAAAAGGCCCCCCCCGACCCTGGGGGGTCCGGTACAGCGACAGTTCGGGCCATCGGGAGGCGGGGAGGGCAAAAAGGGAGAGCGGGGGGGGGGGCGGGGCGGGCATGCTTTGCGAGGCAAGCGAGGACCGGGGGAAATAGACAATCCTCCCGGTGTCAGCGCATGAAAAAAAAATCCCACCACGCCTGGGGCAGCACCTGACGGGGGGTGGTGCTGAGGGGCGGGCGGGGGCGGGTGCGGTCTCCGGACCGGGCTCCCCCGGAGGCGCCGGGCGTCACCACGCCCGAAACCCAACGCGAGCGTGGAAGGCAGGGCAGCCAAAAACCCCATTCGCAGGGCGGAGGGAACATGCAAACGGGAAGCAGCTGGCATGCGTGAATATGGTGGGCGTGCGCGCCAGGCCAGCCACATGGGGGGGGGGGGGGGGGAAAGTCGCGCATCGTGTAGTCGCCCTGGCGCGGGCGCCGCGAAGGGGGGATTCCGGTGCCGGCATCGAAATGCGTGGCCCCGCGGCCTTGGGACTGGAGGTCCACCGGCAGGGCGGCTGGCTGCGGCGCGCGCGTCCCCCGTGCGCGTGCGCGCGGGAGAGGGACCGAAAAACATCGAAGCGCCGCCCGGTGGGGCCTCGTCGCCGAGGCATCGCCAGGCTCCGTGGACGCATGAAACCGGGAAGGGGGCCCGGACGCATGCCACGCACTGGTCACCTGCAGTGTGGCGTGCGGCGAGGGCCGGTCGCCTCCGACAGTCAGCTGAACGCTCGCATGCGTCATATGGTGGCACTCGCCGACCGGGCGTGCCATGTGTGCCCTCTCCGTCGGTGGACGTGACCAGGCATGTGACATTCGCCCCGGCCAGGCCCCACACCCCGCGGGCGGTGGCCCCGCGCCGGGGCGGCTCATGTCCCCTGCGTCTTTGGCATCGGCACGGTGCGCGATCGGGCTTCCCTCGGGGCGGCGGACGGCCGGCCCTGCCTCGGCGCAAGTCTGCATCCACGGGAAACAGGCCGGTCATTGGGACTTGGCCGGTCAAGCGCGCACAGGGGCCGGAGCCGAGGCAGTGGCGCCGGCCAGGTGCCGGCCATCTCCGCGGGCTTGGGCCGATGCATGGGCTTCCGGGGGCCCGGGAGAAAGGCCGGCGAGGGGGGCGGGGGACCCTCGCCAGGGATCTGCCAGACTGCACTTGATTCTGACCCGGTGGATGCGCGCATTTGGGCGGCCCCACGCCCTGCCCGGGCAGAGGGTGTGCGCTTGCCCGGCGCCGGAGTTAGCTCCGCGCCCGGCGGGAAGCGAGAACGGCGGCGGGCCCGGCACCAATGCGCGATGTGTCCGGCCTTTCGGCCTGTGGAATTGCCACGCCCCATCCATCGGTGCGGGGCTCGGGCGCCGCGGGAGCTTGTGTCCGGAGGGCAACATCCACACATCCGCGTCCACACGCACACATCCACACATCCACACCGAGAAGGATCCTCCACCCGGGCCTTCGCATGTGCGGCCTACCCAGCTACAGAGACGCCCCCTTGGGCCCTGATGTGGGGCGGTTTGCCTCGCTCGACGGCGGCGCTCTCCGCGGGTGCCCCTCCTCAACATGTCACTCCCCCTTCCGAGGCCGGGCTCCGTGCCCACCCTCCGCCGCACGCCCGGCCCATGCCTGCTGACCTCCTGGGAGGAGGGCCTGGCCCAGCTTTTTCCATGCCGCCCTTTGGCATGCTCGGGACCGGCCCTGGAGCGTCACGCACGCGCCTCGCCCGGACTCTGGCGCCGTCCTTCTCCACAAGGGCAGGGGATGTGCCGCTGGCCTTGGCGATGGTGGTCCAGGCTCGATTGGCTCCCGGCGTCTGAATCCCTCAGCAGCAGACACGGCCAGCACAAGGCCAGCCCGCTGAGAGGCAGGCCCAGCGGCGAGACGAAGGCCGGCCCGGACACGGGGGGGGGGGGGGGGGGGTCCGCGAAAGGGGCCAAAACTAGAGCCCTGCCATAGCCCGGTCCCCCACAAGCCGATAGCCGGGGGAGGGGGGGATATCCGGCGTTGTTTCTCGCCTGCCATGGCGGTGAGTCCTCCCGCCGGGGAACATCCGGTGGCGGCCTCCCCCGCAGGTGAGAGGCAGGCGCGGACCATCTGCTCGGAGCATTGAAAAAGGGGTGCCCCCCCCCCCCCCCCCCCGGGTTCCTCCCACCCGCTGGTTTGCCACAGTCCCCCATCGAAAGGGAACACAGACACACGAGCCGCCACCATGGCCGGGGAAGCAGGGTGCACGATATACAGGAGTTCAAACTGACGCAGGTATTCCCGCCTCCGAGGGGGGGGACCAGCCAGTTCTTTGACACGGGCCCCTCTGGCGGCGAGGGCGCCCGGACATCGGAAAACCCGATGCGCAGCTTCATTTTTATTACCCTCAAACATATCCCAGCCCGCTGGCATCTCTTGCGCGTGGGCTTGCGTTGGGAGTTTGGGCTGCCCTGCGCCAGTTTGCCCCCCCCCCCCCCCCCCCCCCCCCCCCCCCCGCGTCTTCCCCTCGGGCAGGGCCCGGCGCAAATCCCCCGCAATCCATCGGCCCGCCCTTTGTCGGATCCTTTCCTGCTCCTGCTGCCTGCTCCACTGGATCAGGGGGGAAATCTAGTCTACATTTGGCGCTGCTTGGAGGGGGAGAGCCGGCCCAGCCTAAGCCGTGGCGTCGAGGCCACCGGCTGCCACAAAGAGCATGGCGCACCGCTGGCGGAAGGTGCCGGCATTGGGACGCCGGGAGGCATCTTCCTGCCAGGAGGTGACAAGCAGGTCCACCGACCCGGCGAAGCAGCCGCCAGTGGGCAGGCTGTCGGTGGGAAGCCGGCGGCCCGCTTGAACGGCGTCCACAACATGAGAGAGCTCCATGCCCCGCCACGGGGTCGACCGGGCGAGGCACTCCCAAAGCATGACCGCCGCGCTGAAGATGTCCGCCGGCAGGAGGAGCGACCGATCGAGAGGGACCCCACGCACAAAGGCCGTCAGCACTTCCGGGCTGGCGTACCGCACGGTCATGGCATTCAGCTCGGGCAGGGTGCTGATGAGGGCCGACGACCGGTCGGTGCTCAGGTTCCGCGAGGTGCCCAGGTCGCCGAGGGCCGCGCGCCAGCCCCCGTCCGGGCGCTGGCTCACAAACACATTGCCCGGCTTCAGGTCGCAGTGGGCGATCCCGTGCGCGTGCATGGCCTCCAGCCCGGTGGCCCACTGCTGGCAGATGTCCGCCAGCTGCAGGCTTGATAGGGGGACCTCCGAGTGCAGCAGCGTGTCCAGATCTGTCTGGTAGCGTTCCATCACGATGGCCGGCGGCTGCTCGCTGTACCCGAACAGCCGGACGATGTTCGGCGCGTCGCGCAGCAGCCACATCAGCGCCACCTCGTTCTGGAACATGAGGAAGTGCACCGGCTGCATGGCCTCGGTCCGCATCTTCTTCACGGCCACGGCTTCCGGGGTGCCCAGCCGCGCGGCGATGCCAGCGCCGATCGCCTGCGCCGCATACACCGACGCCTGGGTCCCGGCGCCCAGCTGCTCGTCCAACGGCCGGAAGTCCAAGTCAATGTCCACCAGGATGGTCCCCGGCAGGGCCAGCTCCACGATGGTGTTCAGCATGGTGGCGTCCTCGGCGTCCAGCTCCTTCAGGGCGGCGGGCCCGGCCTTGGCGCGCCGGCGAACGCAGAACAGCACCAGGAGGATCAGCAGGATCAGCAGCAGCAGCAGGCCCAACGACAGGCCCACGGCCAGGCCGATGCGCGATGAGCTCGACCCGGGCACGCGTTCGCAATCTCCCGGGCCCGGCCCGCTGCAGGCCTTGCACTTGGCATCGCAGCGGGCACACACCGGCACCGGGGCCTGGTCGTCGGGGAATGTGCCAACCGGGCATGCCGGCACGCATGACTGGCCGTCCAGCAGCAGCAGCCCCGGCACACAGCGGGCGCAGGACCCGAGCGGCGCGCAGACCAGCAGCCCGCCCGGGCCCGGGGCACAGTCCGGTTGCTGTTGTTGTTGCTGTGAGCCGGCCTGGCAGGCATCGCACTTGTCCGGGCAGGCCAGGCAGATGCCGCCGGACGGCGCATGGGCCGGGGGGCAGGAAGATACGCATAGGCCGGCATCCGGCTGCAGGAGCCCCTCGGTGCAGGAGGTGCATGTGTCCTCGGCGCTGGCGCACGTGCGGCAGGGGGCGCGACAGGCCAGGCAGGCCGGCGCGTCCCCGGGGGGGAGGAACTCCCCGGCCGGGCAGGACCCCATGCACCGGCCGGCCGACAGGACAAAGCCCCCGCGGCAGGCCGTGCAGTCGGGCTCGCACGAGTCGCGGCGCGAGTCGCACGCCGCACAGTGGTCCGGGCAGGCGATGCACCGGCCGGAGGCGACGCATACGTGGGTCCCCGGGGGACAGACGTCCACACAGGCCCCGGCCGGGTCCAGGAGCTTGCCCGGGGCACAGGAGGTGCACATGCTCGGCGAGTCGCACGTCAGGCAGGTGGCCTGGCAGGGGCGGCAGGCGCCCTCGTCGGCAAAGAACCCGCCCGGACAGGCCGCAAAGCAGGTGCCATCGTGGAGAACGCGGCCCATGTGGCAGGCGGTGCAATGGGTGGAGCTGGGCCCCGAGCAGGCGGCGCAGGCGGTGCTGCATGGAAGGCAGATTTGCTCGCTCCGGTACATGCCCGCCGGGCAGACGGCATGGCAGCTGTTGTTCACAAGCAGCGGGGAGCTCGCACTGCAAGACAGACATTGGTCCGACTCGGGACCGTAGCAGGTGGTGCAGGTCCCATGGCAGGTGGTGCACAGTCCGCCCTGGGGCGAGGATCCGACCGGGCAGGAGGCCACGCAGCTCGGCACGTCCAGCAGCCACCCGCGCTCGCACAGGGCGCAGGTGGCCGCGCTCGCCGGGCAGCTGGCGCAGTGGTCGCCGCACTTGGCGCACCCGGCCGCGGTGCGGGTGTGGCCCGCCGGGCAGGCCGGCACGCAGCGCATGGGCGACTCGCCGGCCGGCAGGGCCAGCAGCTCGCTCGGGCAGGCCGGCAGGCACTCGGTGCTCCGGGTCCCGGCGCACTGGTCGCACGACGCATGGCAGGGCAGGCACCGCCCGGCCAGGGCCACATGCTTCGCGGCGCAGTGCTGCACGCAGTCGCCGTCCTGCAGCACGCCGCTGGCGCAGCGC